ACTACTACTACTACTACTACTACTACTACTACTACTACTACTACTACTACTACTACTACGACTACTACTACTACTACGACTACCTACTACTACTACTACTACTACTACTACTACTACTACTACTACTACTACTACTACTACTACTACTACTACTACTACTACTACTACTACTACTACTACTACTACTACTACTACTACTACGACTACTACTACTACTACTACTACTACTACTACTACTACTACTACTACTACTACTACTACTACTACTACTACTACTACTACTACTACTACTACTACTACTACTATTACTACTACTACTACTACTATTACTACCACTATTACTACTACTACTACTACTACTACTACTACTACTACTACTACTACTGCTACGTGTACTACTGCTGCTACTACTACTACGACTACTACTACTACGACTACGACTACTACTTCTACTCCTACGACGAATGCTACTACTTCTACTACTACTGCTGCTGCTGCTACTGCTACCGCTACTGGTACTACTACTACCACTCCCCTTACTGCTACCACTACTACGACGACTACTACTACTACTACTACTACTACGACCACTACTACTACTACTACTACTGCTGCTGCTGCTGCTACTACTACTACTACTACTACTACTACTACTTACGCAGGACGAAAGATTTTCCTCTTGAGGTGAACATGGCAGTTTGGAGTTCGCGAGACAACGTCGGCGCCGCCGAACGGACGGCGACCCGACGAGCTGTTTGCAGCAACCGGGGGGAGAGGGATGTATGTATTCATGTTGAATGGGGCCCGCTCGCGCGGGGAGTCGATGGGAGTGCGCGAGACGACGCAGGGCCCATCGTGGAAAGTTGATTACCGAACCCCCCGTCCCCTGTAGAATCTTAACACGGGCGGTTTGCGGGGTCCGCGGATCCGATTATTTCGGGGCCCCTGTTTTTTAATTTATTAGTATAATTTTTAAACAGGGTAGAGATCGGATCCGCCGTAAAAACTAAGGTCGGACGCGGATCCGGGAAACATCCGAAATCGGAACCGCGCAGACAGAAATCGGATCCACCGAAATACAAAGCAAAACCAAAGTTGGACCCGCGCGAACTTCATTGGATCCGACGGCGGGTATCTCATACGCGTCTGCTCAAGACTTCAAACCTTCGCTCCGGGCCCAAGAGGAAAAATCTCTCGTCCTGGGGATGTACTACTACTACTACTACTACTACTACTACTACTACTACTACTACTACTACTACTACTACTACTACTACTACCACTACTACTACTACTACTACTACTACTACTACTACTACTACTACTACTACTACTACTACTACTACTACTACTACTACTACTACTACTACTACTACTACTACTACTACTACTACTACTACTACTACTACTACTACTTAATACACTGTACTACTACTACGACTACTACTACTATTACTACTACTTCTACTACTACTACTACGACGACGTCGACGACCACTTCTATTGCTCTTACTACTATAGTACTACGTCTACTACTACTACTACTACTACTACTACTACTACTACTATACTACAACTACTACTACTACTACGACTACTACCGACTACGACTACTACTACTACTACTACTACTACTGCTGCTGCTGCTGCTGCTGCTACTATTACTAGTTCTTTTACTACTACTACTACTACTACTACTACTACTCTACTACTACTACTACTACTACTACTACTACTACTACTACTACTACTACTACTACTACGACTATTACTATACTGCTAATACAACCATTACGACCTACTACTACTACTACTACTACTACTACTACTACTACTACTACTACTACTACTACTACTACGGCTACGGCTACGGCTACGACTACTTCTACGATTACTATTACGACTACGTCGACCAGAACTACGACCAGTGCGATTACGACGACGACTTCCACCACGACTGCGACTACGACTACGACTACGACTACGACGACTGCTACTACTAGTGCTTCCACCACCACCACTACTACTAATACTACTGCTAATACTACTACTGATACTACTACTACTACTACTACTACTACTACTACTACTACTACTACTACTACTACTACTACTACTACGACGACGTAGTAGAGTAGTAGTAGTAGTAGTAGTAGTCGTAGTAGTAGTAGTAGTAGTAGTAGTAGTAGTTAGTAGTAGTAGTAGTAGTAGTAGTAGTAGTCGTAGTTTGTTGTTGCAGTAGTAGTAGTAGTAGTAGTAGTAGTAGTTGTTGTAGTTGTAGTTGTAGTTGTAGTAGTAGTAGCAGTAGTAGCAGTAGTAGTAGTAGTAGTAGTAGTAGTAGTAGTAGTAGTCGTAGTCGTAGTCGTAGTAGTAGTAGTAGTAGTAGTAGTAGTAGTGGTAGTAGTAGTAGTAGTAATAGTAGTAGTAGTAGAAGTAGTACCATTACTATTTTTTCTATCACTTCTCATTCCTACTCCTGCTCCCGTTCCTACTGCTACTCCTGGTCCTTTGCCTACTGCTACTGTTCCTCATTGCTACTCCTGCTCCCGTTTCTACGACTACTCCTTCCTACTCCTACTTCTCATCCTTCTCCTTCTCCTTCCCCTCTTCCCCCCCGGTCTGTCCTCTTTCCTCCCTCTGACTGCTGCTGCTGCTGCTGCTCCTTCCTTCCTGTCTTGACCTCTTTCCTCCTCCGCACTCCCTCCTGATCCCTCCTCCCTCCCTCCCTCCCTCCTCCTCCTCCTCTTCCTCCTCCTTCTCCTCCTCCTCCTTCTCCTCCTGCTCCTCCTCCACCTCCGCCTCCCCCCTCTTCGTTCCCCGGCCTCCCCGTTCCTCGTCATCCCTCCTTTCCCATCCTCTTCTTCCTCCTCCTTCTCCGCCTACTCCTCCTGCTCCTTCTCCTCCTCCTCTTCTGCTTGCTCGAGAGAGCGATTCGGCGGACCATACCATAGGCAGACGTTCCAATTTTGTTTCAGCTGTCCGGGCAAACTTGTAGCCGGAACGCGCGTCGCTGACGTCGGCCCACCTTTGGCCATTGTGGCCTTCTTGGGTGCCTCGTGGGGCCCTCCTTGGCAGCCACCCTGACTCGCTTTGGGCCATCTTGGCGTGCTCTCCAGCCGTGTGGCGCCCTCGGACCCATCTTGGCCATCTCGGAGATCCTTTCTGGGAATTTTCGGGCCGTCTTGGGAGCAGGGAGTTGTGTGCGCCATGCTCCTTCGCCCAAGCTTCCTTCAGCTCCCGCCCCTCCTTTAGGCATCCCTCCTGCTCTATCAGCGTGTCCGGTTTCTATTGATATTCATGGCGTACGATTGCCGTCTTCATCTATCCGTGAACTGTCGATTTGTCGAGACACGTCGTTTGGCACGTCGGCGTCTACTTGGTGCATCTCTGGCATGTAGGCTGTAGCGAGAGCTCCCCCGACACCCGTGAGAGCGAGGAGAAACCACGAACCACGACTGTGGGATAGATGGGGCGGGTCTGTTGAGAGTGCTTCGGGCTCTACAGCGGCCTCTGTGTAGTATTGGCAAAGCCATGTCCCACCCGCTTCCCTTGTTGTCACCTTCAGGAATGCCATCGGCTGCGACAAGGCACGGATCCCGCGGCATGCATAATCGCTGTCAGCCCAGGCTTCATTGCAAGAGCACGTTGCTGAGTAACGTGCGTTGCGTCGTGTCTTCAGTTGTGCCAGGGCTTGTGACAGGAACGCATGTGTTGGACCAGCACGCGCACACCATAGTTGGTTGCCATGGGTGCTGTATCGTGTGTCATCAGAGGGCCAGGTGACACATTTCCCCTGGCAGCGGCAGGCGCACACGCAGGATTCTTCAGCGTTCGCTTCCACCACGGGCTGGTGGGATACGTATTCCGATGCATGAATGGGCTTTGCAAGGTCGTACAAGCTCGCTCATTTCTAACTCTTCCAATGACCATTGGTTTCGAGGACTCAGCTTTCCGTTTATGATAATTCTTATGTTCTTGGACTTTGTGTTAACCGTTCTGGGGCCTGGGAATCCAGAAATGTTGACAGTCAGAACCGAGCAGGATTAGAATTCAGCGATCTGCTTGTGTCTGGTTGCTTCGGAGGAGGGAGCAGTCATTTCGAGCGGCCCTGGATGAGCCTTCCAGGGAGTCGTCTTGTGGGCGGAGGCACCCCTTCTCACCGAGGTAGCGCCCGAGCGACCCTCAGGGAGGAGGAGAGGGAGTATCAGCAGCAGGAAGCGTATGACGAGGACGGAGGAGAAGGAGCAGGAGCAGTTGCAGGAGCAGGAGGCAAGCTGGCCAGCTCGAACGAACCAGCGGACCCCGTACACTCCCACCCCCCTCCCCTCTCATAACATCGATAACAGTGGCGGCGCAGCTGGAAGCTGGGGCGGGCGAGGGTTGCCTGCGCGGCAGTGCCCCCGCGCGCCTCCTACGGCTCGCGCACGCGTGCTTGTGTGTGCTTGTGTGTGTATTTTTGTTTGTGTGTGTGTGTGTTTTTGTTTGTGTGTGTGTCTGTGTCTGCGTCTGCGTCTGTGTCTGTGTCTGTGTCTATGTATGTGTGGTGTGTGTACATATGTATATATATATATATATATATATATATGTATATTTATATTGCATATATACATATATTTATATGTGTGTGTGTGTTTGTGGTCTCTGGTCGGCCCAGTATGGGTCCCGCACGGTCTGAGCGGTCTCCCGTTCGCGCGCCCACCCGTTCGGTGACTTTCTCCGCCTCGGCGCTGTTCGCGAGGCCGCGACCGCCCAAAAAAGTATGTGTGGTCACGCGCGCCCTGCTTGGCCCCTCCGTGCCCTTCACGCGTGGGAAGGGGGGGGGGGCCGGTGGATGCAGGGAGGGAAGGGTAAGATGAGGACGGGACGAGGGGGGGGGGGGACAAACGGAGGGAGGCAGGGAGGGACGGGGAAGGAGGGAGGGACGGGGCAGGAGGGGCCGGGCAGGAGGGAGGAGGGGGGAGGAAGGGCGGGGGGACCTGGCGGCGCGCATCCTGCCGCGCAGCCGTTCTGGTGGCGATCCGCCCCCCCCCCCCGGGGGGGCGCCGCCCCTGGGCCATGCCGGCGCGCGGCGGCGCACGGACGCCCTGGCCACATGGGGCGCTTGCGGTGCAGGCGGCCCGCACAGCCCCTGCCCGTCGGACGATCGGTGCACCATCCGCGCACGCTCGAGGATGGCGCGGCCTCCGCGCAGAATCCTCGGGGATGTCTCGAGCGAACAGCTCGTGCTGCAACACTCGGAGGGCCTGGGCGCCCCACCAGGATGCCGAAGTGGTTTTTGGGAGTGCGGTGTCACCGTGATTTCCGGGGTCGTGGCCTTAAGTCGGGCGTTTCCCTCTACAGGAGGAATAATCAAGAAGAGTAAAACAAATGTCTGGTGACGATTGTTTGAAATTATTTTTGAGTATCTATTCGAGTATGTTTCTAGTATTTTGTATTTGTTGTCCAATCTCCCCCTGTAGCGGGACACGCCCGACCTAATCGTGGCCCCTTTTGACACCTGAGGTTCTGCGGAGCGGCGCCGCGAGTGACGCGGGCAGGGCGTGGCGGGGGCGCGAGGAGGCAGAGGCAGAGAGAGAGGAGGGGGGGGCGAGAAGAAGGAGGGGGTGTCTAGAAAGAGTGGTGGGCCTGTTTTTCACCACCACCACCACCACCATAAGTTGGAGGGAGAGGGGGTCCTCCTCCTCCACCTCCTCCTCCTCCTCCTCCTCCTCCTCTTCGTCCTCCTTCCCTTCCCCTCTCCAACTTATATATGGTGGTGGTGGTGGGAAACAGGCCCATCAAAGAGAACGGGCCCTCTATGGGAAATGGGTCCTGGGTTTCTTCGCCGCCCGGCCTCTCGAGGTCGCCCCTGGGGCCCTGGGACGGGCAAGCACGAGTCGGGACGAAAGCCGGTCCAGGGACCCCCCGGGGTGCGAGGACTCGTTCCTCTGAGGACGCTGTCCCGCCAATGGCAGGAGGAGGAGGAGGAGGGAGGGAGATAGGGAGATAGGGAGGGAGGGAGGGAGGGGAGGGGAGGGAATGGAGGAGGCGGAGGAGGAGGAGGAAGGAGGAGAGGGAGGGGAGGGGAGGGGAGGGAGGGGAGGGGAGAGAAGGAGGAGGAGGAGGAGGAAGAGGAGGAAGAGGAGGAAGAGGACGAGGAGGACGAGGAGGAGGAGGAGGAGGAGGAGGAGGAGGAGGAGATGAGAAAAACCAGACAATTGCAAAACCAAGACGCTTCAACGATGTTGCAATAAACTCTCCCTCTAATTTTCCTCCTAATCGGTCCCTGCACTAATTTATTCTCATTACGGGAAGTTCCCCATTCGAAGACAACCGTCTGAGAGTTTGAACCGTGCCAAACCACAGTTCTGGGGATTTTAACGCCGCAAATCAACGTGATTGCTGCGCCCTGGCAATCCTGAATTGTACCAGGCATTATTCCTGGGGTTTCAACACCGCGAATCAACGTCACTGTTGCGTTCTGGCAAGCCTAAATCATGTCGAGCACAATTCCAAGGGTTTCAGCCATACAAGCCCTTGAGTTCGCTGCAAACTTTGCAACGAATGTTCGCTGCGCTAAGGCGAGAACAACCATTTGAACATCAATCGCCCTCCATCCTCGAAGCTGCTGCGAACTTTTAACGGACTATGCGTGGAGCTAAGACGGGAGCCACACTTTGAGAACGAGCTGCCCTCCATCCTTGAGGCTGATACAACTTTCAAGCTTCAGGGCCGTACATCGTGAGGATGTCTCATGTGAAACGGCTGGCCCGCCCTACCGACACGTCTCGGGATGCGGCAGGGAAGCGTTGTTTATACGGAAAGTGGACGGAGGAGGAGGAGGGTGGAGGGACAAGGGAGGAGGAGCAGGAGGAGGAGGAGGAGGAGGAGGAGGAGGAGGTGAAGAAGTTGGAGGATGAGGGGGAGGATAAGTTGGAGGAGCAGGAAGGAGGAGGAGGAGGAGGAGGAGGAGGAGGAGGAGGAGGAGGAGGAGGAGGAGGAGGAGGAGGAGGAGGAGGAAGAGGAGAAGAGGGACAGAAAGCGTGGGGAGGGGGAGTTTCGGCGAGAGAAACAGGCACGGGGAGCGAGGGGGGCGATGGGGAGGAGAAGGACGATGGGGATGACAGCGGGAGGAGGAGGAGGAGGAGGAGGAGGAGGAGGACCAACGAACACCCAAGACGCATCAGCGAAGTTGCAATAATCAAAACAAGCTCCCTCCAATGGTCCCTACACCGATTTATGCTCACTGCTGGAAGTGCCCCGTTGGAAGACAACCGTCTGAGAAGCCTTACTCGTGCCAAACCACAGCTCCTTGGACTTCAACGTCACGAATAAACTTTCGTGTTGCGTCCTGACGATCGTAAGTCGTATCAGAAAACCATTCCTCGGACTTCAACATCGCGAATCAACGTGGTTGTCGCGCCCTGTTAGTCCTAAACCGTGCTGGACTACAATTCCTGGGATGTCAACATAAGAATATGCTGAATTGTTGAAATCTGTACAACGAATGTGCGCAGCGCTAAGACGCGAACCACATTTTGAATACAAGCCGTCCTCCACCCCTGAAGCTTATGCAAACGTTTAAGACGAATGCGCGCGGTGCTAAGGCGAGAATCACATTTTGAAAACCACCCGCCTTCCATCCGTGATGTTCCTAAAACTGTTTAAAGCGTGTCTGCTTGGCGCTAAGGCGAGAGCCACATTTTGAAGAGGGGCCGCCCTCCATCCGTCAAGCTCTTGCAACCTGTTAAGACGAGTGTGCGCGGCGCTCAGGTGAGAGCCACATTGTGAAGAGCAGCCCTCCACGCGAACTGTCAAGACGCATGTGCGCGGCGCTAAGGCGAGAGCCACATGTTCAAAACGACTCGCCCTCCACCCGTGAAGCTCTTGCAAACTGTTAAGAAACACGCGCGCGGCGCCACAGCGAGAGCCACATTTTGAGAACGACCCGCTCTCCATCTTCGAGATTGTCGCAAATTTGTGGGACAAATGTGCGCGGCGCCAATGTGCGCGGCGCCAAGGCGACAGCCACATTTCTGAAACGCCCCGCCAACCACCCGTGAAACGGTTGCAACTGTTAGGAAGTGATTCTGGATCATAGACCGCCAGGGAGTAAAGCCCCTTGATTCCTGGATCATAGACCGATCATAGACCGTCGGGAAGTTTCAGGCGAAAGGCCCGCCCCGCCCGTCCGACACGCTTCGGACTGCAAAAGGGAGAGTTATGCTTTCTCGCTTCGCTCACTCCGCCAGCTCATTTCGCATCACGGTGGCTGCATGGTGGTGTGCCCGTACCCATGGGGCACGGTAGGGCAGGCAGGACTGTTCTCAAGGAGATGTTTGGAGATGTGGCTGGTACCCTGTCGAAGAGTGTTGATAGACTGCCCTAGAGGGCGCCAAGATGGCTCAAGAGAGCTCTAGCAGAGTTTCGAGGCGTATGTGGGTTGTGGGTTGGAGTCCTCGTGGATGTTTCTTGGGGTCTCTTCGGAGGGCTCTCGGGAGCCTCTGGGGAGAACTTTTGAGGCCTCTGGGGAGCCTCTTGGGAGCTTCTTGGGGGCCTCTTGGGGCTTCCTGGGGGCATGTTGGGGATCTTGGGGCCTCTTGGGGGGCTCTTGAGGGGCTCTGGGGGCTTCCTGGGCACTTTTTGGGGCCGAGAGCTCGACATGTCTGTTCGGGTTCCCCCTGTGGGCCCCCTCTTGGAGCCATCCTGGGGCCGTCTTGGAGGCCTCTTGGGCCGTTTTGGGGCCATCTTGGGCCATTTGGGGGCGCTCTTGGAGGCTTTTTGGACCATCTTGGAGCAATCTTGGGGCCTCTCGGGCCGTCCAGGGCGGTCGGCAGCTCGGAAAGGCGGTACCACCAAAATCGTCAGACAACCCAGGCGAAATCGATGATTTGTGGGGCTTCGGGGTCTCCCGAAAGTCCTCTTGGGACCCCTGCGGGAGCTCCTTGGGCGCCTCGTGGGCCGCCTCGGGAGCAGCGCGGGCCATCTTGGAACGCTCTTGGCCTGAGGCCCTCGGGCGTGCCACCCTTTTGGAGCCTCACTGGGGCACTCGGGGGGACCCGAGGCCGCGCCCAGGAGTAGGGAGGGAGGGAGAGGGAGGGAGAGGGAGGGAGAGGGAGGGAGAGGGAGGGAGAGGGAGGGAGGGAGGGAGGGAGGGAGGAGGAGGAGGAGGAGGAGGAGGAGGAGGGAGGGAGGGAGGAGGGAGGGACTCTGACCCGACCCTGCCGGGACCTTGCCAGGACCTTGCCGTGGCCCTGTCCGTCCAGGGATCCCCAGGGGAGGCCACGCGCGCGCGAACGAGACACACTCTTGCACCCTTATGTCTTTTCAGAGATTTTCGCACGCCTCTGGCCCGCTGGGCCGGCGATTTCATGATGAAAAGGGATGGACGAGCAGGGGGAAGGCAGGAGGAGGAGGAGGAGGAGGAGGAGGAGGAGGAGGAGGAGGAGGATAAGTAGGAGGAGGAGAAGGAGTGGGATGAGGAGGAGAAGGAGGATGAGGAGGAGGAGGAGGAGGGGGAGGAGGAGGTTGGGAGGACAGGGAGATGGAGAGTGGTGGCCAGGGGAAACGAGGGGGAGGAGCACGGCCCGATCTTCCGATACCGCCACATGCGGAGTGGAGAAGGACGGGTGCCCGCCCAAGAACCCGACGATTTCGAAGTGTACTCTTCGAGGTCCTGGAGGCCGTCCGACCCCTACCCGCAGTGGTGGTGAGAGTGGAATTGAGACCCTCGGAGAAGGAGGACGGTGAACGATGACGATGACGCTGGCGATGACGATGAAGATGGCGATGACGATGACGATGACGACAGCGACGACTATGACGATGATGCTGATGATGAAGATGATGACGATGTCGATGACGATGACGATGACGATGACGATGATGCGGATGATGATGATGATGATGATGATGATGATGATGATGATGATGATGATGATGATGATGATGATGATGATGATGATGATGGTGATGGTGATGATGATGATGATGATGATGACGTTGATGGTGACGATGATGGTGGTGGTGATGATGAAGATGCTGATGCTGATGATGGTGATGATGATGGTGATGGTGATGATGTTGCTAGTGATGCCAATTATGATGATTGTGGTGATGGTGATGGTGATGATGATGATGATGATGATGATGATGATGATGATGATGATGATGACGATGGTGATGCTGAAGCTGATGCTGATTATTGTGATGATGATGCTTATGTTGATGATGATGCTGAAGCTGATGCTGCTGATGCTGCTGATGCTGATGATTCCGAATGATTAGGATGCGGCTGATGATGATGATGCTGCTGATGATGATGACGATAAAGATAATGATGGTGATGACCATGATGCTAATGCAGATGATGGTGATGATCATGGTGATGCCGATGATGCTGAGGATGGTAATGATGCTGCTGATGCTGATGATGACGATGACGGTGATGATGATGCTGATGCTGATGCTGATGCTGCTGACGATGTTGTTCTTGATGATGACGATGATGATGATGACGACGATGGCGATGACGATGACGACGACGGTGACGGTGACGATGACGATGACGATGACGATGATGATGATGACGATGATGATGATGATGACGATGACGATGACGATGAGGATGACGATGACGATGACGATGACGATGATGATGATGCTGCTGATGATGATTGTGATGGTGATGGTGATGATGATGATGATGATGATGATGATGATGATGATGATGGTGATGCTGAAGCTGATGCTGATGCTGATGATGCTGATGAGATGATGGTGGTGATGGTGATGATGTCGATGGTGATGCCGATTCTGATGATGGTCATGCTGATGCTGATGCTGATGCTGATGCTGATGATGTTGATGAGGTGCTGATGATGATGATGTTGATGCTGTTGCTGCTGAAAACGATGCTGCTGATGCTGCTGATGATAACAACTGATGATTAGGATGCGGATGCTGATTATGATGATGATGCTGATGATGACGATGATGATGCTGATGCTGATGCAGATGATGGTGAGGATCATGGTGATGATGATGGTGATGCTGATGATTGTAATGATGCTGCTGCTGATGATGACGATGATGCTAATGATGATTACGATGATGGTGATGATGCTGATGCTGATGCTGCTGCTGATGATGACGATGTTGTTGTTGATGATGATGATGATAAGGATGCTTCTGGTGATGATGCTGATGACGATGGTGATGATGATGGTGGCGATGATGAAGATGATGATGATGATGATGATGATGATGATCATGATGATGGTGATGATGATGACGATGATGCTGATGATGATAATGATGATGGTGATGATGATGATAATGATGATGATGATGCTGAAGGTGATGGTGGTGGTGCTGCTGCTGCTGCTGCTGCTGCTGCTGATGATGATGATGATGATGATGATGATGATGATGATGATGATGATGATGATGATGATGATGATGATGATGATGATGATGATGATGAGTTGGAGGAATGAGGTTATTTATATACATATACATATAACGGCGCACCGGGTCCGGGGGCCCGGGGCCGGGACCCCGACCACAAATGTGGGCCCCGGGGGGCCCGGAGGCTCGTCGGACCGCCGGACGCCGTCCAAGATCGTTCGCAGGCGGCTTCGGAACGCGCTCCGATGGCTCCAGATGCCTTCCAAGACGCCTGTCATGACACCAAGAAGGTCCCAGAAGCCTCCAAGACGCTCCGAGAGGCAGCCCAAGAGAGGCCCAAGAAGCAAAAATCGTGCCATTCCTATGGGAAAACGTATATTTTTCGCATGTTCGCCTCTTGGGCTTTCACCGCGTCCAAGACGGCCCAAGAGGCGCCCAAGACGGTCTACGAGGCCTCCGGGAGCGCTCCAAGGCTGCGCACGAGTGGCCCAGGACGGCCCCAAGACGGCCGAAGAGAGCCCCAAGACGAGTTCGAGAGGGGTCCCAGACGGAGAAAGCCAACCTCGAATTCCGAGCTTCCGGCCCAAGAGGCTCCAGGAGGCGCCAAAATGCCGCCAAGAGGCGCCAAAAGGCTCCCAAAAGCACCCCAAGACGTTCCGAGAGGCACCCCAAGAGAGGTCCAAGAAACAAAAATCGTGTCATTCCTATGGGAAAACGTATATTTTTCGCATGTTCGCATCTTGGGCTTTCACCGCGTCCAAGACGGCCCAAGAGGCCTCCAAGACGGCCTAGGAGGCCTCCGGGAGCGCTCCAAGGCTGCGCACGAGTGGCTCAGGACGGCCCCAAGACGGCCCAAGAGAACCCCAAGACGACTTCGAGAGGGGTCCCAGAAGGAGAAAGCCACTCTCGAATTCCGAGCTTCTGGCCCAACATATCCCAGGAGGCGCCAAAACGCCGCCCAGAGGCGCCAAAAGGCTTCCAAAATCAGCCCAAGACGTTCCGAGAGGCACCCCAAGAGAGGTCCAAGAAACAAAAATCGTGCCATTCCTATGGGAAAACGTATATTTTTCGCATGTTCGCATCTTGGGCTTTCACCGCGTCCAAGACGGCCCAAGAGGCCTCCAAGACCGCCCCAAGACGGCCCAAGAAGCTTCCAAGAGGGCCCCAGGACAGCCCAAGAGGGCCCCAAGACGGCCCAAGAGGCGCCCAAGATGGCCCAAGAGGGCCCCAAGACGGGCCCAAGAGGGGGCCCAGAGGGGGACCACGAACCGCAAGCTCGAGCCTTCCGCCCCAAGAGGCCGCCAGGAGGCCCCAAGGAGGCCCCTCAAGAGGCCCCAGGAGACCCCCAAGAGGCTCAAAGGAGGCCCCGAGAAGCCCCAAATCGGCCCCCAAACAAAATGCTTCGAACCTGCTTCCAGGAGGCCCCCGACAGGTTCAGAGGCTCCCGAGAAGCTACGTCAAACTCCCAGCGAGCGGCCGGACGAGGCCCCCACAAAATCACAAGAGGGTTCCAGTATTTGTATCCTTCAGCGCTCTCTGGCCTTCTTCCCCCTGCCCCCTTCCCTGCGACTTTCGTTGACTCAAACTCGCCTCCTAGCTAGAACCTAAGCGCGCGCGAAGCGCGCGCGCGTGGTTCTAGTATATATATATATATATAGAGACAGAGAGAGAGAGAGAGAGAGAGAGAGAGAAAGAGAGAAAGAGAGAGAGAGAGAAATAGAGAGAGAGAGAGAGAGATAGAGGTTGACCAGGACGGGAAGAGGGAGGGGGAGGAGGAGGAGGAGGAGGAGGAGGAGGAAAAGAAAGAGGAGGAGGGGGAGGAAGAAGAAGAAGAAGAAGAATCATAATAAGCAGAGAAGGCAGTCAAGTATGTGGAGGAATGAGGGAGGAGAGAGGAACGCAAGTAGCAGAACACATATGAATGAAACCGAGGGGGAGCAGGAGGAGGGGGGGGAGCCCCCCGCCCACCCAAGGTCATAGCGGGGCTGGCCGTGGCAGCTGCAGCCGCCACCCCCGACAGCGGTGGGCTGAGAGGCTACCCCACTGCCCAAGAGCCCGTCTGGGTGACCAGGAGCTTCAGCTGCCGCCCTTCTCCTCCCCATCCCTCCTCTCCTACAGACCCCCTCGCGTTGTGACAAAAATCACAACGGCTGGTTTTTCGCTATTTTCAGCCTTTGGGGACCCTTGCCGGGCCCCAGGACCGTCAAGAAACGATCCAGGATGCAAAACCAGTCCCGGGGAATGGGTCCGGATCTCTGGGGGTCGACGCTGCGAAAAAGTCGCGACGTCGGGGTCGGGGGTCTGGGTCCCGCCACTGGGAGCCTCTGGAGCCTCTGCGGACGGGATCCCCCGGCGCGCGAGACGGAACGGAACGACCGAGCAAGGCATGCTCCGCAGGCGGGGGGTGCGCGCCCACCCCCCTCGTTGCGGACGGGCTCGGTGTCCTGGCGGAGCAGGCGGAGTCCCCGCCCCGTCCTGCTCGCCAGCCCGCGGGGGCAGCGCGAGGCCGAGTCCTTGACCTGCCGGCACACGTGACCGACCATGCAAATCTCCGCCGACCACCCATCGTGATTCCCCACCTTCTCATCCTCCTCAGCCTGCTGCTGCTATACATACAGGAATATTATTCCCATTCGCATATCGTATTCCTATTTCCCAGGACCCCCTCCCCCGAAATCGGACCACCCGGAATCCCGGCCGCCCAGGACCCTCTGGACCCCCCGGAAATGTGGCCTCGGGGGCCCGTTGGACGCCCCTGCAGGAGGCCCCCAGGCTGTTCAGAGCTCCTGGAAGCCCTTGCTGGGCCTCGGCAACGGGCCCAAATCGGTCAGGAGGGCGGCCGAACGCCCCCCCGAGGGCCCCAAGAGGCCCCAGGCACCCACCAGACGCCCGAAGACGACCTGAAGAAGACCCCTAAGAGGCTTCCAAACCGCAGAAAACATGGATTTCCCACAATTTTTGCATGATTCTGGGAATGCCCTGTTCTTCGGTGTTCTGGGCGTCCGAGACGGCCCAGAAGGCCCAAAAATTTCCCCCAAACCATCCGAAAGAGCTTCCAGGCAGTCCACGGGAGCCCCAGGACGGCACAACAGGGTTCCAGGGTGGCCCGAAGAGAGCACCATGACCGCCCAAGGTGGCCCAAAGACATCCTCCCAAGCATTCCAAGTCGTGCCCTGGTCGTTCAGGGAGACCGCGGTTGGAGGCAGGGTGGCCCGAGGAAGCCCCCAGAGGCCCCCAGATGACGCCCACGAGGCCTCCAGAAGGCCTTAAGACAGCCTGAAAAACTTCTGTGAGGCCGCGAGGCCCCCAGAGGCTCTCCAATGAGGAGCCTCCGCAAAAAGATCTGAGGAGGATGGGGACAAATTCGCAGGGTAGGGCGAGAGTGAGGAAAGAGAAACATGAGCGAAGGATCACGAATGCCATTATCATAACTGCGATGCTGCAGAAGGCAACAAGGAGTTATCGCTAGATTGCCAATTTGACATTCATGCCCTTCCGCCTGCATGCCAAACTTCAAGGACCAAGGTGCATGGCGCGAAGCGCCAATGCAGTCTTGTATGTATGTGTGTATATCTATATGCACAAGACTGCAGTGACTCTAGGCGTCTCCCTGAACGACTGGGTCACGATTTGGAATGCTTGGGAGGATGCCTTGGGGCCAAGATCTTGGGCGGTCATGGGGCTCTCTTAGGGCCGTCTTGGAGCGTCGGGAAGCCGAAAAGAGGAGAACCCCAAAATTGACCAAAAACCTACAGAAAGTCAATGATGTTTGCCTCTTAGGGCCGTCTTCGGAGTGCTCTTGGGGCATCTTGGGACGTTTTGGAGCGATCTTGGGGGGTATGACGGCTTCTTGGGGGTCGTCGTGGACCGTATTGGAGCTCTGGGGTCGTTCCGGGAGCGCGCCAGAACGCCTGGAACCCGTCTGGGGCTGTCTTCGGGCTCTCGTGAAGTTCTCCCGGGTCGTCTGATGGGTTGCCCGGAGGCCCTGGGAGGGCCAAGTTCGTTAGGTTTTTGGGGGGCTTTTTTCCAGCGTCCTCGGCCTTTTTTTATATTTATATTGATATATATATATATATATACACACAGGACTGCAGTGGCGCTTCGCGCCATGCACCTTGGTCCTTGAACTTTGGTTTACAGGCGGAATGGCAGGAAGGTCAAGCCGACAATTTAGCGATAACTCCTGGTTGCCTTTTCCGGCATCGCCGCTATAATTATGTTATTCGTTATCTTTCCTCCATGCTCATCGTTCTTTATTTTCGCCATACCCTGCGCATTCTCCACATCCTGCTCAGCTCTTTTTTGCGGAAGCTCCTCCTTGGAGAGCCTCTAGGGGCCTCACAAAAGTTGTTTCGGGCTTTCTTAAGGCCTTCTGGAGGCCTCCTGGGCGTATTCTGGGGGCCTCCGAGGGCTTCCTCGGGCCACCCTGCCTCCAACCGCCGTCTCCCTGAACGACCGAATCACGATTTGGAATTCTTCGGAGGGTGTCTTTGGGCCATCTTGGGCCGCCATGGGGCCCTCTGAGGGCCATCTTGGACCCGTGTTGTGCCGTTTTGGGGCTCTCTTGGACTGCCTTGAAGCCCTTTCGGATGGTTGTGGGGCGATTTGGGAGCCTCCCAGGTGGCTTCGGACGCCCAGAAGACCGCCGTCTTGGAGCGTCGGGAAGCCGAACAGAGGAGAACCCCAAAATTCACCAAAACAACAGAAAATCAATGATTTTTGCCTCGGGGGGCCTTCTTGGGAGTGCTCTTGGAGGCCTCTTTGGGGCCGTCCTGGAGGCCTCTTGGGCCATCTTGAGGTCACGTCGGTCACTCTTGGAGCGCTCTTGTGCTGTCTTGGGGGTCTCTGGGACGTCTCCGATGACCCCCCTGATCGCCCTAAGTGTGCTGGGAAGGCTTGGCAAAACGCCTTGCGAGGCCCGGTGGCCGCTTCGAGGCCCGTCCGGAGGGCCCCAAAGCCCCAGGTCCTGGGAGTCCGGTTTTGGGGGGGGGGGGTGATGGGTTTTCCCCCCGCCCGGGCTTATAAAAATACAGGAGGAGGAATCTGTATTCCGTTTTCGCGTATTTGTTAATTCGGATACTGCAGAAACCTTGCCCCCCGACCCCCCCGCCCGAAATCGGACCCCCCGAATCCGTGGCCCCAGGGGCCCCCTGGACGCCCCTGCAGGAGCTCCTGGAAGCCCCTGTTAGGCCTAGGCTACGGGCCCAAATCGAGGAGGGCGGCCGAACGGCCCCCCGAGGGCCCCAAGAAGCCCCAGGCACCCACGAGACGCCCGAAGACGACCCAAAGAAGACTCCCAAGAGGCTTTCTAAACGCAGAAAACACTGAGCTTCAATAGTTGTTGTATGACTTCTGGGATGCTCTGTTATTCGGTTTTCTGGGCGTCCGAGACCGCCCAGGAGGCCCCAAAATTCCCCCCAAAACTAGTCGAAAGGGCTTCTGGGCAGTCCAGGAGAGCCCCAAGACGGCACAACAGGGTTCGAAGATGGCCCGAAGAGAGCCCCCTGACGGCCCAAGATGGCCCAAAGACGCCCCCCGAAGCATTCCAAATCGTGACCCCGTCGTTCAGGGAGACTGCGATTGGAAGCAGGGTGGCCCGAGGAAGCCTCCAAAGGCCCCCAGAAGGCGCCCAGGAGGCCATCAGAAGGCCCCAAGAAGCCCTGAAACAATTTCGTGAGGCCCCCAAGAGGCTCTCCAAGGAGAAGCATCCGAAAAAAGAGCCGATGAGTATAGGGAGTACTTCGCAGGGTAGGGCGACGATGATGATGATGATGATGATGATGATGATGATGATGATGATGATGATGATGATGATGATGATGATGATGATGATGATGCTGATGCTGATGCTGATGCTGATGCTGATGCTGATGCTGATTCTGATGATGATGATGATGATGATGAGGGAGGAGGAGGAGGAGGAGGAGAGGATGAGAGGAGGAGGAGGAGGAGGAGGAGGAGAGGAAGAGGAGGAGGAGGAGGAAGAGGAGGAGGAGGAGGAGGAATAAGAGGAGGAGGAGGAGGAGGAGGAGGAGGAGGAGGAGGAGGCGGAGGAGGAGGAGGAGGAGGAGGAGGATCGATCGATCGAGCTCTCGGGCTGGTTCGGTGCTGCACCCTCGCTACGTGCTGTGCTGCTTACTGAAGTTGTGTGGCCTAGCTGAGGTCACTTTGCTGAAAGGGGGTCGCAGGCGCCACTTAGACGCTCGGGCACTACCTGCACCGACCTTCCCCCACGCAGGGGTCTGCGGGCAGGGTAGCACCCGCTTTTACGAGTGCCCTCTCGCTGTCTCCTCTACTCCCCTGCCTCGTCTGCCTCGCCCCTTTCCCCTACCCTTTCGCTTCGGTTCGGGTGGGGGCGGGGGAGGTCGGTGCACGACAAAATAGTTGGGAAAACTCGGGCCTCGGAGTTGGAGAAGGTCGGGAGCCCCAGTCGGAGGCGGAGGAGGGGGGAGGCGGCCTTCCCTGACCAGCTCGTGGAATCGTGCGCTGGTGAGAAAAGTTCGCGGGATGGCCTGAGGGGCCGCGCTCGCTGGGACAGAACAGAGCCGCACCGTCCGCTCAGTCACTTCGCTATGCGCCGCTCCTCTCTCCGTGTCGTTCTGGCTCAGCTGTTGACGAGACGTCCCAGTTCTCGCTCCAGTGCTCCACGTGGCGCCGCCCCGATCTTGCGGCTCGCTCCCTCCTTGCGGAGGGCGCGCGTGAGGATCGTCTCCAGCTGCGTGTCCGTTGCCTTCACCTGGAACTGGAACCTGCACTTCTCCGTGGCGCCCCCCTCCTTGCCCTTGTTCCTGTGAACGCGGAAGATCGGGATGCCGTCTGCCACTTTCTCCGCGCTGCCACTCAAGATGACGTCCTTGTAGTACTTCTCGAGGTAGTCTCTCTCCGCTCCTGCGTCGTACGTGCGCCCCATGTAGTTCACCACTTCGGTCCACACGCGGATGTGGGGGCTGCCGAGCGAGGCTGTGTCCACTTGTTCTCCATCTGCTGCTCTGCGTCGTAAGTCCTGCGCGTCGTCGTTGTACGTCTGGCCCGCCTGTAAGCCCGCCTGCGCGATGCCGCTCTGCGCGCTGATCTCCCACGTCTGGATGACGGCCGACGCCAGCTCGGCCTGCTCGCGCGCCAGCGTGAGGGTGAGGCGTGCCGTGAGGTCCACTATGTGCGGGTTGGCCACCGCTGTTCCTCCTCCCGCTGGTGCTCCTCCTGCGGCAGCTCGTCGTGGTTGTCGACTGCGGTCTGGTCGTTGAGGTCCTGCCGCCGCCGCTGGCGCCCAGGCTGGGCGCTGGTCGAAGAGCGCCATCCTGTGCCTGAGGTCGCAGTAGTGGTCTGGGCAGATGCGTGCACAGGTGTGTGAAGAAGGCGCCCTTGTCTAAGAAGAGATGGCTGCAGAGAGGACATTTCGTGCTCGGTTTAGTCGGTTGGCTCTGGTTTCGTGTCCTATTTGGGTTGCAGCTGCCCGTGATCAAACTCCTGGCCAGGTGTTTCCATGCTGTTCCACGGCTCGTGAAGCACTGGTAGCAATTGATGCACTCGTTGTCCGTAGTTAATAGAGCGGCTAAATTGTGAACGTTATGATTCCGAATAACATGACTGTGTAGTGCTTTTTTGCTCGCGAACAGTAGTCCGCATTCCCCAGAATCGTCCCCGAGCGAGCACTTACAAGGCTGGAGGTCCTGGAGGGCTAAGTCTTCTCGGAGTTCGTCGTCGGGAGTATAGCCTGGAGGAGGAACTGCTACCGTCAATTTAGCTGCTCTGACCTCGCGTACGTCTAGTAGGTGCAGTTGTTCTCTAATCACTAGCGTGAACATCTTACCTATCTTGACCTGCTCTTCCCCGAAGATGTTTCTGAAGCTCTCCGAGACTTGGCAGGCCTTCGTGACATCCTCCTCGATTCGTCGGGCCCAGGGGTTCGTGTGCGTCGTCAGCTCGTCTGTCGTGCCGTCGTCGTTGGTCTCGAATTCGAGGCGTCCGAACAAGGCGACGATGAGTTGGCGGTGATTGTTCGGGAATCTCAGTATATGTTTTGCCCAGCCAAGTCTGCGGACCAGTGCCTCCTCCGCTGGAGGAAGGATCTGCCAGTAGCGGAAGACCTCCAGCGTTGTCAGACTACGTACCGAGCCGTCCTCGCTGTGCGTGCTGGCTCGGCCTGCCATCGCCCGTCTCAGGAGGGCGCCCATCGCGCTCTGGAGCATCTGGCACTCGTTGGGCGTGGGCAAGTAGCACTCGATGCACGAAAGCCCCGTGTTGATGACCCTGCATATGAGGACCGCGCGCTTCCATTTGTAAGGTATCTCTCGCTTGGTCCAGAACTTGCCGCACTCGTAGTAGCTCTTCTTCATGGCCTGGATGCGCTTCTGCAACTCTGGGTAGTAGCTCTGCGTCGATGTTACTTGAGGGCCCAGGTACCGAGCCACCGCCACCACTTTGCCTGGAAGTTTGCATTGCGGGTCCTTCTTGATTATTTGATGCGCTTGGCTGGCGCCTTCTCCCTGAACGTGTACTATCGTCTCCTGCTTATCTTGGTTTTGCTTCAGGCCGATCTCGCTCAGGCGTCTGTTCAGCGTGTCGTCTATCGTGTGAGCCTGGTCGGCGAGCAGTTTGGGGTCGGCCTGTTTCCCGTTCAAGATGATCTTGCGTATGTCGCCCGCGTACTTCGTCAGCCCCACGTATGCTGGATGTTGGAACAGTTCACTTCCTCCATACAGTAACTCGTCGTACTCTATCTCGTCGTTGCAGTCCTTGGTCCACCTCTGGACGCAAGGGGCGAAGCTGGCTACGAAGTTGCGCACCATGTAGGGGTCGCCGATGAGGCCGCCGCAGTGGGGTTTGATGCATATTCCCTGCGTGTCGTCTCTGCAATCAATGTTGAACGTCGCCCTGCGGTATCGTTGTTCTCCGAGGTCCCAGAGGTCCTGCGGCATGATGTTGCTGTTGGCCGCGTCCATGGTAAGCCACTTGCAGCTGGCGAACGCGTTGGACATGTCCTTCATGGTGGACGCGTAATTGTAGCCTGCGTTGCGAGCCCTGTACTCGATGACTGACATGGTGAGGATGGCTCCTTCTCGTCGTCGCCCCTTGATGAACCCGTAGTCCTGGTCCGTGTGGGTCTGTTGTCGTTGCCTCCTGAGTCCCGCAGCGTAGTATGCCTTGCCGATGGGGTCCATGATGTGGTAGATTCGCTTGCCTGCTGGTCCTTTCTTCGTGTTCTTCTTAACCGCCGTCGCCGTGCTTTGATGCCATCGAACTGGTGCCACGTTGCTGATGCGTATCGCGGCCAAGACCGCCTTCAATAATGCTTGAAACTGTTCGGGTTCTCCATCTCCCTCGTGATGTCCGAGGCCGTGTCGTTGTCGTGGTTGGTGTTCCGCCTTCGGTGGGCAAAGTGGTAGTCGCCATATCTCCGCTGGTGCCGCCGTTGGCGGTGCTGCTCGTCGTAGGCGTGCTCGTTTGAGGCTTTTGGCAATCTCGTTGTAGTCTTCCTCTATCTTTTTCTCCAAAGCATCCTCGTCGTAGTCCTTCTCCTCGGCGTTGTGCGGGATGGCCTCCAGGTGCTGCGTGTCCTGCTCGGTGCCTTCCATGCCGCCAGAGCCACCTGGTAGTTGCCAAAAATCGAGCCATTCCTGCTTCGTGGGGTTCGCCGTCGTAGCCGTCCAGAAGTCCCTCTTGCGTGGTCCGTATCTTCCTCCAGCGATCAATCGTGATAGTCTTCCAACTCTTGCCAAATCCCTTTCCTCCCGCGCCTCGTATAGTTCCTCGACTCGTTGCTCTGTGCGTAGTTGCTGTGCGTGTCGTCGTTGTCGTTGGCATGTCTTCGTGATGTCCTGCAGCTTTTTTCTATCTCGCGCATGCGCTGCTCGGTCTCCGTGATCGGCTGTTCGTCTGTGGCGTATGGGTTGCCTTCCATCTCTGTTTCTTCCTGTGTCCTGGGTGGGTCGGCGACCGCCACTGGAGGGTCCCTGGATTCGAGCACGTCCGCGCAAAACGGGGGAGGCGACGATTCGGGAGCTGGCGTACGTTTAGCCTCGTGATGAGCGGCGTGTAATTCGTGAAGTACTGAACGGGCTGCTCTGCGTTGTCTTAGTAGCTGCACGCGCTCGTTGCGGAGCCTCTCGTAGTCGTCGGTCGGTTTCGGCGCCTGGCTGTAGTACGGCTGGGCTGTCTCTACGAGGATGGTATTGATGTCCGTGAAAAGCTGATCGACTCCCTTCCCTGCTGGGTCGTAGTCCTCTATCCGTTGCTCTACCTTCTTGATGCATTCTCCTCTGTGCAGTCCGTGTCGTACTGCGAGTGCGAGGCTGTCCTTGTCCCACCTCGGTGGCTGAGGTCGCTGCCGTACTTGTTGCCGTAGAGGAAGCCGAAAGGTCACCTGCACTGGAACGTGGTCTCGTCTAGATCGGCAGCGTATGCGTTGTAAACGTGTTCCCATCCTGAGCAAGGGTCCTTGAGATATCATTGTCTCGGTCATGCTCCTCGCTATCATGATGTAGTCGATGCAGCTCGCGTTCTTCTCTCCGGAATATGCGGGGCGCCATTGCCCGAGCGTGTTCACCATGCTGAGGTCGTAGCGGTCGGCGTAGATGCGAGCTTTCTGTCCAGCGCCGCCTGGTAGTCGTTCAGGTGATCTGCCTTCTCCGAGTGCTGGTGTATCTGGTCGTCCTCCTTTCTGTGTGATGCCGATGCCGTCGTTGAGGTCGCCCGCCACGATGAGTATCGTGTGTCTATGCTTCCGTTTGCTGGTTTCTTCTATCCAATTGAACAATCTGCTCGTCGTGGCGTAGTACTCTTTCCTGGTCGTCTTGCCCTTGTTGGGTTGCGGCGGACTGTAGTATCCTATGATCAGCAGCGTCTGGTCGTGGTGCTGCAGGGTGATCGCGAGGCCTCTTCCACTGAGCTCGGGCGTCGGTTCCTGGATGTCGATCACCTTGGCCCCTCGCAGCCGTCCCTGCAGCGCGATGATGATGCCCGTGCTGCGGTTGGTCAGTTCTCCTGGTTGCCAGCCCGCGTCGTAGTAGCGTGTGTTGTCGCAGCGGTGCTGCGTGATGACTGAGTCACGTCGTCTGCGTGATGTCCCCACTAGCACGATGATGTCAAAATTGTTGGCCTCCTCGTATATTTCCGCGAGCCTGTCGGGCTTTGCCGAGAGTGGGTTGAAGAGGAGCACAGCGAGAGAAGCTGCGAGTGCCGCCATCACGCGGGCCGCCGCCCCTTCTGTCTGCTCGGTCCGAGGAACGGCATGGTGGCGGTCTGGGCTGCCCTGACGATATCTTAGGCCCAGATGGCAGCTAGGAGGAGGAGGAGGAGGGGGAGGATCGCGAAGATCATCGCGCGCCGCGGGCTCGCCTGGCCCGCGAGGGCGCGAGGGCCGACGGCCAGGCCCCCCCCCCAGGAGGCTGCAGGGCACATGCGGCGCCGTGTGCGCGGCGGACGGCCAGACCGCCACCTGCGCCGAGCGCGTGCAGGCGTGCCCCCCCCCCCCCCCCCCCCCCCGCCTCCTCAGCCGTGCTGCTCCTCCCTCCTCGTCCTCTCCCTCCCCTCCTACTCGCCCTCTTCTCCCCTTCTTCCTCTCCTCCCGGCCCTCGTCCTCCTCCCCTTGCTCCTCCACCTCCTCCTTGTCCTCCTCGTTTTCCTTATCCCTCCTCCTCCTCCTCCCTCTTCCTCCTCCTCCTCCTCCTGCTCGTCCTCCTCCCTCCTTCCTCCTTCCTCCTTTCCTCCTCCTTTTCCTCCTCCTCCTCCCTCCTCCTCCTCCTCCTCCTCGGTTTCCTCCTCCTCCTCCTCCTCCTCCTTCTCCTTCTCCTCCTCCTCCTCCTCGTCCTCCTCCTCCGCCTCTTCCTCTGTTTTGTGTAGTTATTAGGCAGGAGGTTTCATCGTCCCTATGGTCCCTTCTGCTTTGTCTGTTTCTCCCGAACACCCTGCAGTCACGCCATCATGCGTGAAGACTGCGCGCTGCATTCTCGCTGACTTCTCTGCTCGTGCACCCCAGTCCATTTCAGCTTATAACTGGCAGCCAATATGCGCTGTCCGAGAGGGCATGCCGGGCGCCCGTTACATCACTTCTCGCAGTCCGGCGAGCAGGATTCAATAATTCAATCCAGCCTGTGCTGTCATTCGACCTCTTTGGCCGTGAGTACGTTCAAGACCTTCAACAGCTGGACGAGGAGCTCGGGATGAGCCCTGCGCCTTCGACTTGGTGGAAGGGCACCGACAGCGTGGCCAACGTGAGCAGCACCCCCGCTGGGTCCACTCGTTGGTGCCACTCGGAAGGAGGATGTAGTCTCCGAGGTCCCGACGCCGACAGCTGCCGACGGCCAGCCAGGCGCACAGTCCAGCTCGGATGCCTCCGACGGCAAGCCCGAGAGACGTTCAAGCACGCAGGCCGAGGTCCTGCACGACGCCAGCGCAGAGCTGCATGCGATGCACGATCGAACCTTGAAGCTCGACGATGCACTTGCGTGCACTGGCGTATCGCCTGCTGCCACGCCGAGTCTCACCAACATGCTGCAGGGCACTGAGCGTTCTGACCTCTACGCCGAGGACCAGCCTCCCACCATGCACACCGAGCTCCACGATTCCGCGGTCCAGGCGGAGGTGATCAACTCCACAGGTGCCTTCGTTGCGACGAGGTCGGCTTCGTTCACTGCGTGGACGGTGCTGCCATCGCCCAGATATCGAGCGCAATTGGGTCGCAAGACCCAGAATATCGAGCTCAATTCGTTCATGCCCAGCCATGCGGCCACCTACGAAGCGACAGCGAACCTGACCAGTAGTGCCAGGCCTGTCGCTGAGCCGCCTGGGCTCCACGAGCTTCGGGTCCTCATGGGACCCTTTTCGTCGAACCAGACCCAGCTCGACGAAGGCGCGTCCATCGTCGGGAAGCACTTGGACCGTGCAGGCTGTAACTGCGGCATGAGCGACCCACTGAATTTCCTGTCCCACTGCTCCCTCGCAGGGTGGCTTGCCCTCTCTTGATTCCCTTGCTGTTTCCTCTCCTCCTCCGCATCGTGTGGAGTACGTGGTATCTTCCGCACCGTGTGCAGCAAGTATTTGCAACGTCTGATGCAACATGGATTGTGTAGATCAGGGTTTAGCGCCATTCTGCTGCGTTGATTGGCGATTCTGTCGAATGTCCCATCCAGGGGAGGCGAATTTGAACTTCGAGCGGTGTCTGAAATGCCGCTTTGGGCAGGTGCATTGCCTGCGGGCGGGACGGCGGCTTGTGTTCTCTTGCTTTACTCCTTAGTTCTCCCTTCGGCCAGTGTCGTTCCTCTTCCTTTTCCTCCTCCCTGTGAGTCAGATCTTCGTCCTCCTCCTCCTTCTCCTCTTCCTCCTCCTCCTCCTCCTCCTCCTCCTCCTCCTCCACGTCCAGCCCCCTGTCGCGCAAAGCTCCAGGCCCCGTTTTGTGCTCCAGCCCTCCTCGGGACCAAGGAGACGACCTTGGCAGCACCGGGAGCGCACTGCGCTCCACGCTGCCGCGCCAGCCGATGCCGACAGTCCAGCAAACGTGCGATTCTGCCGACGGGGCTTCTGATGCTGCCAACGGGGCTTTGGAAATCAGGCCCCCGTGCTGCTCGATCCTGCTGGGCGGTTCCCGCTTCTGGCGAGAAGTTTCCTGCGTCAGAGAAGCGGCGATGCGGAGGCGGACAAGGATGAAGGCTAGAAGCTGCGCATGCTCGTGATCCTGCTGCAGGATCACGAGGACGCGCAGCCTCCCAGGGACATCTTCGGCACGTCCCTGGCCGCTATCGCTGCTGGCCACGTTTGCTTTCAGCGGCTTCAACAACTCGGGCGTTCGAGGCCCCCCGCGTCCTAACCGAACCGCGCCTTCCTGGGATCCCGTCGCACCTCACTTACGCAGCAGAACCTCCTCCTCCTCCTCCTCCTCCTCCTCCTCTTCCTCCTCCGCCTCCTCCTCCGCCTCCTCCTCCTCCTCCCCGAAAGTTTACGTGCGCGCTTCAGCCCCAGGGCTTTCTCGAATCTGCGAATCTGGATGCACCTGCCCGTGGGCAGTAGTCCCCGCCACTGCCGCGAACATGCCTCGATGTGGCCAGGAGCACAAAATAATGGGCTATGGGTGCCCTGCAGCCTAACGGACCATGTACCACCATCCTTTTTCGAATTGGCTTCGGCCAGGCCCTTGATGCTACAGAGATGGCTATTGTCTACCAGCCACTGGACTGTGACCCTGATTTTGTGTATGCCGCAGTCTCCATTACTTCTCATCTGGTCGCCTCATCCCCATGGATGATGTAGGTGCTGTCTAAGCCTATAGCGCACTTGGCAATCCTCCTCCTCCTCCTCCTCCTCCTCCACCTCCTCCTTGTCATCCTCCTGCTGTGGGCAGCGGGGCGGTGGGGGCAGCGGGAGAGTGCAAGGGGTGACGGGGCGAGCCTTCAACGCGAGCGTGGGCGGTCCACCGCCAGCCCGCGAGGGGGGGGAATGCTGCACTGCGAGATGCGGTTGGGAGCTGGGAGGGCGGGAGCGCTGCGAGAGGCGGGGGGGGTCATGGCGTAGACAAGCGGGGGGCGGAGGGGGGGGGTCTAGCAGGGGAAGGGAGTGTACGGTGAGCGAGGGAGCGTCGTCGTCGTCGTCGTCGTGGTCGTCGTCGTGGTTGTCGTCGTGGTCGTCGTCGTCCTCGTCGTCGTCGTCGTCGTGATCGTCGTCGTCGTCGAGATCGTCGTCGTCGTCGTGGTCGTTGTCGTTGTCGTCGTCGCGATCGTCGTCGCCGTCGTCGTCGTCGTCGTCGTCGTGATCGTCGTGATTGTCGTCGTCGTCGTCGTGGTCGCCGTCGTCGTCGTCGTGGTCGTCGTCGTGACCGTCGTCGTGGTCGCCGTTGTGGTCGTCGTCGTCGAGATCGTCGTCGTCGTCGTCGTCGTCGTCGTCGTTGTGTCGTAGTTGTCGCGATCGTCGTTGTCGTCGTGGTCGTCGTCGTCGTCGTGGTTGCCGTTGTCGTCGTCGTCGTCGTCGTCGTCTTCTTGGTCGTCGTCGTCGTCGTTGTCGTCGTCGTCGAGATCGTCGTCGTCGTCGTCGTGGTCGTCGCGATCGTCGTCGTTGTGGTCGTCGTCGTCGTCGTGATCGTCGTCGTCGTCGTGGTCGTCGCCGGCGTCGTGATCGTGATCGCCGTCGTCGTCATGGTCGTCGTCGCGATCGTCGTCGTCGTGGTGATCGTCGTGATCGTCGTCGTCGTCGTGGTTGTCGTCGTCGTCGTCGTCGTCGTCGTCGAGATCGTCGTCGGCGTCGTCGTCGGCGTGGCTGTCGTCGTCGTCGGCGTCGTAATCGTCGTCGTCGTCATGGTGGTCGTCGTCGTCGTGATCGTCGCCGTCGGCGCCATTGTCGTGGTCGTTGTGGTCGTCGTCATCGTGGTCGTCGTCGTCATCGGCGGCGTCGTCTTCGGCGTTGTCGGTGTCGTCGTGGTCGTGGTCGTCGGCGTCGGCGTCGGCGTCGTCATCGTCGTCGTGATTGTCGTCGTTGCCGTGGTCGTCGTCGCGGTCGTCGTCGTCGTCGTGGTCGTTGTCTTCGTCGTGGTCGTCGTCGTCGTCGGCGTCGTCGTCAGCGTTCTGGTCGTCGTCGTCGTAGTCGTCGTTGTCGTCGTCGTCGAGATCGTCGTCGTGGTCGTCGTCGTCGTGGTCGTCGTCGTCGTCGTCGTCGTCGTCGTCGTGATCGTCGTCGTCGTCTTCGCGGTTGTCGTCGTCGTCGTGGTCGCCGTCGTCGTCGTCGGCGGCGTCTTCGTCGGCGCCGTCGGCGTCGTCGTCGTTGGCCTCTTCTTGTTCGTGGTGCCCTTGAGGTGGGCTTGGGTGGGGGGGGGATGTTGTGGTAGGTGCCGGGGCCGAGCGGCCCGTGCTTTTCGTGCAGCCTCTCCAGGCGGCAGCCGCGGGGGTCCTGCAGGACATGCAGGCCTGGGGAAACTAAAGGTGCAGACACCGCTACAGTCAAAACACAGACTAAGGATGCACGGTTGTCCGTATGGTCCCCTTGCGTCCTTGCTTCTGCGGCGCGTCCTTCGCGGTTTTCATTGGCCAGCCCTTCAGGGTGCTGGCAGTCCGCCGCCCCAAAAGTACCAACTTCGGCGTCCAAGGCCCTGGCGTCCTTACCGCCCGTCCTTCCTATAGATTTCCACTGTACTCCCTGGACCTCTCCCGAGGCGCGTTCTGACCAGGATCTCGAGGCGAGTCCAGCGGTGGCGGCGAGGGCCTCCCCAGAGGCCCTCCCAAAGAGGGAACTTAGGGGGAGGGGTGGCGCTGTGGGGGCACCCTCCTCCTCCTCCCCCCGCAGGCCTGCCTGGACGCGTACAACGTCGTGCTCGAGAGCTGCCCCGCGTGCGCCACGTGCGCCATCTCGGACGTCGGGTGCGGCTCGGGTGGCCCGCCGCTCTCGGGGCCCTCGGCCTCGGCTCGTGCCTGGGGCGCTCACCCGGGGGCCGCTTCCCCCTCCCCCTCCTCCTCCTCCTCCTCCTCCTCCTCCTCCTCCTCCTCCTCCTCCTCCTCCTCCTCCTCCTCCTCCTCCACGTCCTCCTCCTCCTCCTCCTCCTCCTCCTCCTCCTCCACGTCCTCCTCCACGTCCTCCCACTCCTCCTCCTCCTCCTGTCAAAACGGGGCCCTGGGTGGACAAGTCCTCGGACAAAATGACGCTACCTCTTCGCATCCAGTTTGCCCAGGAACATGACGGACAGCTCTTAAAACTGACGGGGCCCTCGCCTGCATGGCAAGACCAGAGCGGAAACCCTGGTGCACACTGCAGTGCTATGTGGGCGCCTCCCCCCCCCCTGCCGCCGCCATCGTGAACTGTTTTTGGCCGGCGAGCCCGCCGCCCTTTTGCTGGTTGTTCCCCGCGCTTAATCCCGTATGGGCTTGCAAGCTTTCCGGCGCCAGGGAGCGTCTGCGCGTGCTTGCGGGCGTTTGCCAGTGCCTGGGAGTGTGCGTGCGCCTGGGAGTGCTTGGAGGCGCCCGCGAGCGGGTTGGGGGCGCCTGGGAGCGCTTGCGGGCGCTTCATAAGCTGTCCCCCACAGGCTACCCCCCGTAGGTTGCCCCCCCAACAAGCCGCGGAACCGGATACGAGTTATTTAGTAACTGGTACCTACTAATCATAATTTAGTAACTAAACCAGTCGAACTAGTAACTAGTTCGACTAATTTGGCGGGCGTTGGTTGCCAGAAAACATGTAAGTGATTCAGTCAAGATTCGCCGCCAGTTCCCAGTTGGGAGTTTGAACTGATTGACTTGGAATTTGTCCTTGCCGCCGTTTTTCGGCAGTGCTAGTGACTGCTTTTCATCTCTTCCCCTGCCGCAAGCTTTTCCCACATGGCAAGCCCATGGGCGCCCCGTCTATCAAGGGACCGTAGTGGGAAGGAATGCCTGTCGGGGATGATGAGGAGGGTTCTTAGCAGAGACGGAATCTTGTATTGCAGCATGGCATGGGCTTGTTTTGGTCCGTTTTCTGCTGCTCCTCCTCCTCTTCCTCTTTCTCCTCCTCATCCCATGTCTGGGGATTAAAAGGTCCCGTCCGATGGGTGTCGAACCCGCGCTTTTGTGACTTGCCAGCCTACCCTTCTGAGGGCTGTTCTGATCTAGCCTTCTCCTCCTCCTCCTCCTCTTTCTCCTCTTTCCTCATCCCCTGCCTGGGGACAAGAGGTCCTCATCCGATGGGTGTCGAACCAGCGTTTTGCGACTTGCTAGCCTTCCCAGCCCTGGGCTGTTCTGACCTAACATCCTCCCCCTCCTCCTCTTCCTCCACCTCCTCCTCCTTCTCCTCCTCCTCCTCCTCCTCCTCCTCCTCCTCCTCCTCCTCCTCCTCCCCTTACCCTCTTCTCCTGCTCCTCCTCCTCCCGTAGCCAGTTTGGCTCAAGTTCGAAACCTTGCCGAGAGGCTTCGAGCTTGTCCGCAGCAGTGCGGTAGGCTTGAGAGATTGTGGCGTGTGCTCCTTGAACCAGAATTTGTTTTGGGCCAGGTGTTCGCGACTCCCACTATGTCTTCGCAGTACGTGCAATGCCATCATTGCAGCTACACATGGAACTGGCGCTCAAGAGAGAAGTGTTTCCAGTGTGGCTGCGCGCTCAAGCTTCAGTTTTCGTCCCATCGGGCACCACAGGGGCAATGGGCGCTGCTTCCGCCGATGCAGATCATGAACGCAGCCATGCCGCCACTTCCTCCGTGGACGCCGCCGCCGCTGCCATCCATCCCGAGCCACCCGTTCGCTAACCCGTTCTCGCCGTTCGGCTCCACCTTGCCGCCGCCGTCGCTGCCTGACACATGGTGGAGTTCGTCCGCGGATCAGTGACCGAAGAAGAGTTCGTCCGCGGATCAGTGACCGAAGAGAAGGAATAATAACAAACTGAAGAAGGCCCAGGGCGATTCCGAGTGGACCGGCCTGGAAACAGAGGACGTCCTCGCCAAGAGAGTCGACAAGTCCATGATTACGACCCTGAAGGAACAGGTCGCTAAGTCTATTCCCAAGCCTTCGCCGCCCGAGTTGCCCGAGATTCAGCTTCAGCGGGCGGCCAAGGCGGTGAGAGAGGCGAAGTCCAAGTACGAGGGCGCCCTGAGCTGGGTCAGCAAGGCTCAGGAGCAGCTCGAAAGCGCCACCAGCTACCTGCGGGACATGTCCGAAGCCCTGGCGATTGCCGAGGCGGCGGAGGAGGACGTGCGCGCCGGCCTGGCGCCACGCCCCAAGATGGTCCCTCAGGAGCCCAAGAATAAGTCTTGCATGGGCCTCATGGCGTTACTCGAGGGCGAATACAGAAAGATCACCGAAGGCGACCTGTTGTAGCTGGACGTCGGGATCGAGGAGCTTAACGACGGCGCTGAGGCAGTCATCGGGCAGTGGAACACCCGCAAGAAACAGCATGGCGCCATCGTCCAGCAGCTTGTCAAGGAACACGTCGCCCCGACGGCCGCGCAAGCCAAGTCCGAGATCGACGGCCTTCGAGAGCAGAAGGCGAGAATCCTCAGCCACAAGCGGAAGAAAACCAACGACGGGCAGGCATCATCAGGCGCCCCAGCGGCTCCCCCAGACGGGGGCTCTGGCGCTACTGACACGGCTTCGCCTGCGGCCTCGCCGCAGTCGCAGGGGCCGAGCGACAGCCCGCTAATCTCCCCTGGCGAGGATGCTGCCATGAACGCCAGCCTCGAGTCCCGCACTACCGAGCTCCTCACCGCGGCCATGGCCAAGGCGGGCAAGGGCAAGGGATCGACGGCTGAATCGTTGCAGCCAGTCGCCCACCTCCCCGGGCATCAGAATGAGGGAGGCGCAGGCGCTCACTGCGATATCAGCGAGCACGCCAGGGGCGACGGGTCGCCCACCGCGCCATCGAGCACATGTCCAGCGGCGGCCGGGACCTCTCGAAGGCCAGCTGCAGCGGCGAATCCTTCTCTGGCTTGCGCGGAGAAGTCTCAAGATCTACCTGCGTAACATTGCCAAGCGGGGCCCGACGGTTGTGGAGTTTTTGAAGAAAGATTGGCAGTGTTACGACGTCGCCGCCCCATGCAAACAGCGCCAAGGGCCAGATGATATGAACGACCTCGGTGACAGCATCGCGAAGGCAGGCTGGCGCCCCATTATGTCGCCAGCGACGCCCGGGGGCCGCGCGCTGAAAGCTGGCGGCGCCCTCATCGCAGCCAAGCGCGGCCTCGACGTGCGCTCCTTCGCCCACCTGGCGCCCGACGCTGCCCAGCGCTGCGGAACCAGCGACGGTGGCAAAGAGGGGCTTGGCCACGACCCCGTGGACTCCCACGATTTTTCAGCCGTGAGCATTCGCGCGCCTTGGCAGCGCATCGTCTGGGTCCAAGTTTGTCTCGACCACGGAGCTGGTGTACGTGGCGGGACCCCGGGGAAGTTGCGCGATCTTGGTGGGTTTCTGTCGACGCATGCTGCTCCCTGGACTGCCTATGGAGACTGGAACGTAGAACCCTCTGGTCTCGAAGCGCGGATGTAAAGCTCGTCGCCATCCAGGTTCTTCCAGAGAACGTCGCCATCACCAGTTTCGCATGGGAGGGCAGGTGCTACGATTTCGTTGTCTGCGCCGAGGACTTGGCCCCATTCGCCAGGAGCGCCGCTTCCGCCATGGACGGCGAGTGGAAAGCGCGCGCAGGTTTGCGGGTCGCTCTCGGCTTGGACCCTTCAGATGCCGAGCGCCGCACACGCAGCGCCCCCAGGCATTTCCCACATCCTTCCTTGCCCGAGCGGGCGCCTGACCCAGCCAGCACGAGCAGACATCATAAGAATTGCAAGAAGCCTTGCAAGCAAGTTGCCCCTGAGCCCCAGAGGCCAAGCCGGTGAGGGGGCCCCGGGATTGGGAGACCCCGAGGCCCCTTTGGGTCCTCTGCCCGCTTCAGGGGGTATGATTTTGGCCCCCCTGAGGTTGGCCAGGCTCCTGAGACGCCCGAGTCCCATGGGCCGCCCCCTTCAGGCCACGCTGGCGACGTCGGGCACTCTGGAGCCAGCTTTGCCCCCGAGGGGCCCTCGTCCCAGTCGCAGCCTTATCCCCGTAGCTCCGCCGTCGCTCCTCCGACCTCCTCGCCTGGCCCCCTTCTGACGCGAGCCTTTTCGCCGACGGCTGGGTTTGCGCCCGCCCGGGCCAGCGAGTGCGGTTTGAGATCGAGCGAGGGGCCCCTTCGGAGATCCGCGACTGTTTAGTGTATCTCGTCGACCCCGTTGCCTCTGCGCAGCTTGCCGCTAAGTTTGGGCCGCGGGCCTCGCGCGCGGAGAAGTTCGGCTGCGAAGCTCGCGCAATTCCGCCCGACGCCCGACGCCCAGCCCGCGCTTAAATGCAGAGGCGTTGTGCAGCCCATTAAGATCAAGCCTATGAGCAAGACGTCCGCCCCATTGCAATCTGTTCGCAGTGATTGTAATTGGCGGGCCGTGCTGAGTTCCCATCTTTCGTTGCCCGGTAGAGCCCGAGAAAAAAGTCTGGTTCCCAGGTCGCCCTGGACCAGCTGCGCGACAAGATTTTATCTCTGGCCCTCAGGACTTCCGAATTTAAGCTTCCCTCTTTAGAGCGCGCCGTCTCCATCTCTGCGGCGGTCCCGCATTTGAGCTCTCGGGGAGGCCCCGCATTTGAACCCCGAGCAGGCTCTCGCGCTGGCCGAGGCGGCATATCAGAATTTGAATCGCTGTTCGAGGATTGGCACAGATCCCGCATTAATTCAACGGTTTCTCAGACCGGGCAGAGAGAGCCAGCGGCTCAGAAATCCCGCAAGTTATTCTCGCCCACGCCACGTCAGACGAGCGAGGCGCTGGGTGAAGGAGATCTCCCCACATTCGCCTCCCTGGATTCGATGGGCGCGCGCGCCAAGCCGTGGATCAAAACGTGGGCCAGGCAAGACGCTTGGCAGCAGCTTGAGCAAACTTTCAAAGATGTACGCGAGAGTGCCCCGGAGCCCCCTCCCTCGTCTCCTTTGGACCTCTCCAGGTTGGATCGCATCCCCCGGGGCAATCCTGAGCGGAAGTCAAGCGGATGCATCGACATCAGTGCTCGAAATATTTCAAGGCCGCCGCCTTCCGCTCGGTCAGAGCCCTTCGAAGTTTTCCAGCTGATGGAAGGCTCTGTCGCGTGGCCGCGGCAAATGCTCAG